CATGGAGGGACTTGTATTAGAGTACATCATCTCAGACTGAGAAAAGTGTACAAAGAAGGTGAATATCAACATATAACAAAAACTGATGAAGACAATGTCACAGACAATGAACAAGAACAAGACTTTACTGAAAGTAACCAACAGCCAGCAGAAGAGACTGAAATCAAAGTACAACAAGGAGTGGGACAAATGCAGAACAAACGGAGGCAGTATGAAACAGAACAAACAAGTGATAATGCAGAAACACAGAGTGATGCTAATATGGAAACTGTGGTCATGTTACAAAAAGGACAAACTGTAAGCTACAGGGATAGAGAAAATGGTGTTTTACACACAGCTGAAGTCCTGGGGCGTGCAGGTAAAGCTACAGGCAAATATAAAAATTGGTATAACCTGTTGCTTATTGAGCCCACAAGTATTGACCTTATTCTCCGCAGACGAGCGGGTGCTGCCATTTGAATCTTTTTGGCACTAGACTTCCGGTCTCATTCACTTCCATTCATTTTTAGACATTAAAAACTGCTTGTTTCGCTGTTTGATGTTGCAAACTGATATTTTCTTGTTATATTATTCTACTTGGTCTGTATAGTCATGCAAACATTTGTTTGTAGAGCAAGTAGTTTGACCGTTTTTTGCCGTTTATTATTCCTTGTCATTTCTCCCATAGGCGACTGAAACGGAAGTTCTAAGACGATCGCGAAAACAGGCGCACTTCCGCATTTTAGAATAAGGTCAATACCGGGTACCACAGAATCTGCTGACATGTCAAAGGTTGAGAATCTACAAATTCAAAACACTGTTGCTAATGCTAACTCCACTAATGTATGTGAGGATGTGTTTGTAATAAAAAATGTAAGATTTGACTTGGCAAAACAGGATGAGATAAAAAGCTGGATAGATAAACAGGTCTTTGAGGAAGTAAAGGACGAGGGACAGAAATGCATTTCCACTAGGTGGGTATGCACCTACAAAGAGACACCTAATGGGGTTTTACCCATAGCTCGTCTTGTAGCACGAGGTTTTGAAGAACTAGAGATGTCAGAACTAAAAAGGGACTCTCCAACATGTTCTTCAGACTCTCTTCGGCTCCTTGTGGCAGTGATTTGTCAAAGACAGTGGAATCTAAATTCCATAAAAGCTGCATTTCTACAAGGAATGAAACTGTCCCGGGACCTTTATATCAAACCACCTCCCGAGGCAAACTGTAAAAAAAAACTATGAAAGCTAAAAAAGTGTGTGTATGGTCTGGCTGATGCTTCACTTTACTGGTATAAAAGAGTGAAGGACATTGTCATGAAGTCAGGAGGAACAATGTCAAAAGTAGACAGGGCTGATAGTGGAAAAAATTCCTGAGCCTGAACTTTTTTTCCTTGCCCCTGAGGTGAGTAGGGGTGGGGGTACTATGTATGCAACGCACTTTTAACACATAACTTGTGGGCCCCTGGGCCCAAATATATTAACAGCCTATGTGTAACCCTGATCATCATTATTGTCAAGTGGCTCTTTTTAGACACATGCCAGTAATGTCAGTGACACATGCCAGTAATGTCAGTGACACATGCCAGTGTCAGTGATCTTGTGACATGTGCCAGTAGGTGTCAGTATAAGCACGTTATAAGCACATTAATCTTATAAGTCTCTTTGCTTTAATATTTAAAAATCATTAGGCAAATGACACCTGTTATCTTACATGCATATATGTTATGAGTTTTCAACATGCATTTTATTATAACTTTTTAAAGGATATTATTTAATATACCTTAAAATGAAAATAAGTTAAATAATAAAATAAATGAATTAATTAAAAGCATAGAGAAGTCCATATTGTAGGGAACAAAGGAACTGCCAGGATGCAATAATATACAGTACAACAGATAAGTGTAACCCCTCCCATACATAAGCATGCCACAATAAATTTGACTGACATGTACTGTCAAATGACTATATTACGTACGGAAGTATGACTACAAATACATAAAATAAATGCGTTTAAATTAAAACATCGTGGAGTAGCTCAGCAAATAAACTAACTTCCGACGCGATAAATTAGGTTAAAAGTCGCGTAATGATTAAATATGGTTTTGCTCGTGTTAATGTCATAAGCTTCGCCGGGTGTCGATGTCACTGCAGTGACATGCAGCGCGACACTCTGAGTGACACAGGTCACTACACATGCCACTAGCGAGTGACACAGTGGAAAACCGGACTGTGCCACCGGAAGTGTCACTACACTCAGTGGCATGTGCCAGTGTCATCTGTACGTCAGATGTCGTGTCACTCCATGTTAAAACTGCTACTGTGAATCCGCGTTCAAGCGCACACAATAAGCTAAAACTCGCCCCAAGCACCGGCAAAAACAAATAACAATGAATGTGTCGAGGAAAGAGTAAGGACATATCTTAATTATTTATTTATTATTTTATTTTATTATTATTTTATTTTATTATTTATTATTTTAATTTATTATTTACTTATTCTGAGTCAGTGTCGCAAAGATCCTGACTGGCAATCTCCTCTTGGACTCGCCTTTAGAGAGAAATTCATCTTTACGGATTACATGAAGGAGTTTTTTTTGTTTTCGATTTTTTTTATTTCGTTAAGTAATAATTTAAAGCTTTCTATAAATATATTTATTATGTCTGTGAGGCATATCGGTTCATTTTGTTAAGCGCTCCTGTTCAAAAACCAGACGACAGAAAGCGCATAATTTTGGTTTTCTTTATTTTATAAAAACGCTGTAATGTTTTTTGATGTATTACTTTGTGAGCAAAAATGACGGATAACTTTAAATTGCTCCCACTGAAAAAATGCAAGTGATTGCTCTGGCGCCTCGATGTCCTGCAAGCTTTTTATAAGCAAACTATGCGCCTAATAGCACACATTCTTTAACGTTTAAGCTACCATTGTTTTATACTTGAACAGTTTTATATCTTTTATTTTAGGCAAGTCGTGATGATCTGAGAAGGCAAACTGATCAAACAGACAATGATGGTCTTCCGCTGGGCGCTGTTCGTTAAAAAAAACTTATTTTTAACGAATAAAAAATGCTCCAAACGTTTTTCTAAATAAGCGTTTTTCTAAATAATAAAAAACAAAACTAAATATAAACACTTTGCCATTAGGATACATACAAAACTGAACTATTTCATAGCTGAAACACTAAGTTGTTTAAGGAGAAGGGGGAAATATATTTTTGTCCCGTCTATTGCTTCACCGTTATTTCGAGAATTATCCCAAAACATATCAGCGTATATGTGCCGAAAACGAAAGTTTCATACAAATTCTGAATGGATTATAGCCTGGAAAGTGCAAAGCACGCTCCTCTTATTATCACTAAAAAGCGTCACTAATCTTAGTTCATAGAGATCTCACAAAGATCCGTTATAATTTATAAAGCTCTCTAAACTACACAATTAATCTTTTATTTACATGGCGTCTACACTCAAAAGATGATTCACGAGCACACAAAATGGCACTTTATAAAAACCAATTCGCCGCTTTCAGCAGTGAGTGAATTCTGTGAATCTAGAGAAATGACAGATCAATATCTGTGAACCTGATTTTTTTTCCCCCGCAGCCACAGTACGCCGAAAATCCGGCGTGGTGCCGGAACGCTATCACCCCTGAGTAGATCCAGCTGTCTTCTACTGGCTGGATCAAGACTGCGCTGTGACTGGTGTACTCGCTTGTCATGTGGATGACTTCATATGGGGAGGCACACAAAGTTTTTCCACAACAGTAATACCTCACCTCAGATCCATGTTTCAAGTTAGGCGTGAGGAGAACAACAGCTTCTGTTATGTGGGAATAAACTTTGAAACTATTGCCAATGAAGTGCAGGTTCATCAGGAAAACTACATCCAAAACATACAGCCTATACAACTGAATCCTGCACAATCAGTGGAACAGGACTCCTTACTTTATAAGGAGGAAAAGGATCAGCTAAGGTCAAAGGTCAGCCAAATTCTTTGGGCTGCAAGACAAAGCAGGCCTGATGTCATGTTTGATGCCAGCAGCCGAGCTTCAAACATTAAAAATGCCTCTGTACAAACTATTCATGAAGCAAACAGAATTGTGGGTAAACTTAAATCCAAAAAGGTAATGCTGAACTTCCAATACCTCGGAAAAGACTCTGAGCTCAAGATGGTTGTATATAGTGATGCCTCTTTTGGAAATCACTCAGATGGGGGAAGTCAAGAAGGACATCTAATTGTTCTTATGGGAGAAAATGGAATGTTCTCTCCCCTTTCTTGGCAATCAAAAAGAGTAAAGAGAATTGTGCAAAGTACACTTGCTGCTAAAACACTAGCAATGTCAAATGGAATTGATAATGCAATATTTCTGACGACGCTGCACTCTGAGCTGACTACTGGTGACACTAAAAAATACAACTCCAATAATTTGCATTACAGACAATCACTCACTTGCTGATGCACTGAAGTCCACCAAGTCAGTTGCTGAGAAAAGACTTCGTCTGGAAATGAGCAGCATCAAAGAACTCATTCAAACACAAAGAATTAAACAAGTGCTTTGGTATGGTACAAAAGACCAGTTTGCAGACTGCTTTACCAAATAAGGAGCATCAGCACTGCAGTTACTTAAAGCACTTAGTGAAGGACAATGGAAGCTCTATTAAAAGAGCATCTTTCTGTTAGGAGTACTGAATTCTAAAAGTTAAAACTTATGGCATCATGTTATCTTATGTTTTGCTGTTATCTTATGTATTAATGTTTTTCAGAAAGGGCATGAGACATTTTTTTTTAAAGAAGAGATTGAGTTTGTTAAGTTCAATTCTAGGTGATGACAACCGTAAATGTGGATGCTGCACATAGAAAGGAAGTAGGACTTTTATGTTATGTTAAAAGGTCACTTTCGGTGTGAGCGGGAGTTTTTGTTGTTGTTAGTGAACGGCCATGGTGGTCATGCAATAAAGGAGACGAGTTCTAAACTGTTGTTTTAATTTAGTAACAGTTTTACTTCTCTTAACAATGTGGCAATACCAGAGGTGAGCTGTACTGGATTGTTTTTTTCTTCCACAACCTTTATGAGCACACACACACACACACACACACACACACAAAAATGATGTTAATAACAACTGTCAGTTCAGTGCTTGATAAAGTCACTAATGTTAAAGAGTTCAAACCAACCTCTGCTGAAAGTAAAGATGTTAAGGTCTCTCCTTTAGGGATTCCAGATGAGCTCTTCAGACACTGCAAGTAAACATTACGACGGGATTAACAATAGTTTAAATCAGCTGCGCCACACACGACTACTTTAACAGCAAGTTTATTCAGGGTCAGTCAAGATAACTAAGGTGATATTTAATCTGTTCCAAAAAAACATTTAATTAATGAGTAAGTGTGATGAATGCCAGAACACGTAACATTTCAAATAATATGCTAACTGCGTATGCTAACTTTACTATGGCCTTGGAACAATACAAAATATATATACATATATCACCAACCATCATAAACGAATAGAAAAACACGTACCGACACAGTGACATTATGCACTCACATTCTCTTCACAAATATGAACTAAACCGGAATTAACCATCACGCGAGCCGCAAAGACATGCAGCAGCAGCCTCAAGGCAGGGCCGGCGCGTCCATAAAGGTGACCGAGGCTGCTGAATAGAGAGGGTGGCGTCCGCGACACCTCCGTCACAACCCGCGTCCCCAGTATGCCCGCGACACCTTCCTTACCACCCGCGACCTCAGATCTGTCCACGACACCTCCCTCACCACCCGCGTCTTCAGTTATATCCGTGAACATCCTTTGCCTAGAGCGGCAGTTCAGCTTGCTCCGGCCCTGTCTCGAGGACACACAGCAGAAGCTGAGTTCAGTCACTCAATCGAATAACACAGTAACTAAAAGCATAACGACGCTATAAAACATGTTGTGGGTATATAAAATGGGGAAAATAACTAAAACACTTTTTTATCACAGAAGCTTGAGGTGTATCCTTCTCCGACGGCTGACTACAGTGAGAGGTGTGTGTGTGTACAGGAAATGGCGTTTGCTTCTCACGCTGTTCCGCCGAGATTTTTGCTCCCATAATGCAGTGCGTAACCGAAAATACGGATAATATTGCTGTAAAATGAAAATACGGAAAGTTCCTTCACAATTATACGGTAGTTTTTCCTGTATTTTTACAGATTTTTTTTACAGCAATGTGTTAAAATCACTAAAGCCAGGGGGTGGCGCTGTCGTACCATCCAGCCGCTTACGGGGCATCTAGCTTTCCGTTATATCTATGCAGCACACGGTGAAATGCTGAAGTGAACTTCACCTTTTATTTTATTTTTTTTTATTGACTTTAATAACAAACATACAAAATCCAATCTTTCACAAAAAAGACAATGATAATAACAGATTAGCTTAAATAATATAAACACCTAAAACTGTAAAAAAAAGAAAAAAAAAGAGAAAAAAAACGTATGACTTATGTATCCGTAATACTTCCAAAAAAGCTATCATAATAATCCAAGAATCTATCACTTTTCTTGTTATTAACCAGTTAAAGAGATTTAAAGGTGCAGTAGGTGATCTTCCATAATGCTAACAACTTAGCATAAATCTCTAAATCGCAGTCCCTCCCCTGCCGTCCACAGCCACGCCTCCTGAAACAGGAGCACGCGCACCTTAAAGATGACAGCAAAAGAGCCCTCTCTCATGAGTTAAAAGCGACTAGTGCTTGTCCGGCGGCGTGCAGGAATTACACTCATTACTAAGCCAAACTGACATGCTATTTCAGAGCGAAAATTTAAAGTGGCATGGTAAACATTATAGGGAGACTAGGCAGAATAGGAGTATTTACTTGTGTTTTGTTTGGTAAACTAATTAAAATCTACATTATCAATGCTGTAAAAGGTCCCATATGAAACTGAAAATACGCTTATTTCACACGGCCGCCATTTTAAAGAACCAAAGCGATGCTGCGGTGGAAAGAAACCCGGAAGTGAAGGACCAGCACTGCAAACATTGCAGCAACATGCTGTGGACTACAAACCTCCAGCTGTTGCCGAGATTTTAAAATGCATAAATGGTGTAAACATTACTTTAATGTTATACAGTAAGTTTAATTTAAACAATTATAAGCAAATTAGGCATCAAACAACATCACAATCTCTGTAAGAAAAAATATGCTCAAGTGTCCTCCAAGGCTTCAGTTCATGGCACCAGTTAAACATCGTGGGGACACATTCCTGCTTCAGCCTATGTAACCCGGTGAGTGATAAAACACTGCAGGCCCCTGTAGCAAATCCTCGTGTTGTTTGTAATAGTGTTGTCCCGGTACTGAAGTTTTAAAACTGGCTAACATTGAAGTGCCGCTGAGCGCGGATGACTTGACTGATCTTCACTGCTGCTTCGCACTCCAGTCTCCGTGTATCTGTGTTTTCACTCAGTTTACTGCTCTTCCCACAGTGCAAACACAGATACACGGAGACTGGAGCGTGAAGCAGCCGTGAAGATGTCGAGTCATCAAGCAGATCGTTTGGCCCGTCTGTGTTTGTGCTCAGTAAACAGCGGTGGGTGAACTGATGACCTTCTTGGCCAATCACAAGCATTTCTGTCGAGCACGTGAACACAATAGCAAATCAGCGTTGTTTTAAGAAAACCGTCAACAGTGCCTTAAATGTTAGTGCGAAATTGCCTGTTTGTTTTTCTTTTAATTCAGCATCGTGACAAGTCTAATATAGTGAAAAAATCAGTTCATTAACTCAAGTTTGATAAATGGCATCTAAAGCGTGTGTTTGGGAAAGAAAACGTTAGTTAACTAGTGACATTTCCCTTAACTTAGCTGAAAATAAGCTCTGATATTCCTTTTTATTTTCACCATTCATTCAGAACGGATCTTCGGGTCACTCAGAAAGCGGTGGAATTATATATTTGTGTCACTTTTTCTTCTCTGATAAGATATACAGCCAAGTACACAACGTTCCTATGCAACTCCCAACAATACTTCCGGGTTTCTTCCCACCGCAGCCTCGACTTCACTTTTAAAAATGGCAGCCACGTGAAATCAGTCTATAGTCACATCAATCTTTTAACGGAAGATTTTAGTGGCTGAACAACACTTCTGTGAAGATATAACCCATTTGTAACAACAACATCCAATGTTACATCAGCTTTGCGTGAAGCTAAAATAGTTTTAAAACAAAACATTACATTATTGGCAGTTTGACACAGTCAAGTGATTGGATTTCGCAGATCAGAGTTCACCAAGCTTAAACTTTGCACCGCAGCGAACTGCGAAACTTAATGCATGACCCTGCGTTTCCAGTCTGACGCATTTGCGTGCGTATGAATGGAAGTCTATGGTAGTGATGGAAGGTTCAGATCATTTTACTGACTATCTTATTAAACTTCTTAAGACTCCCCTTTTTACCGTTGCTTTTAATTTAGAATGATTATGTTTGTCATTTTATCATCCAGTTGTATTGAATCTTTCATATTTTACTGCATTCTTTTTATTCTATTTTATTTTCTGACAGTTTTTTTTTTAAATTCTGCTTTGTTTGCCTTGTATGCCTGTTAGCGCTTTGGGACTGAGAATTCCTGCATCTTTCATCCATTGTAATGCTAAACTTATTGCCAGCATTACCCCTGTGTATACTGATAATTTGTTTGAAATCCTTATATATTTTTTCTATATTAAACTTTGGAATTACATTTGCTATTTCTGGTCATTATCTGGACTTTCGATGCTTCTTAAAAAAAAAAAAAAACCATCTCTCCGTATTTTTCCATTAAAATTTTCCCTTACATACATTTCATGTAGTACTCTTATGCCCTTTGATAACTTGAAACCCCATTTAAATGACCACTCTTCAACCTTATATAATGTCTCTTGCATTTTCCTCATAATATAATATATATTTTTTCCCCTTAACCAAAAGCTCCATCATCCGCAAACAAACACCTACTTATCCCCCATCTACTTTCTCAAATACATCATTAATCATTATAATGAAAAGCTCATATGGACTTGTGAACATTTAAAATAAATAGTCAAACATGTAAGCAATGAGCAAAGCTGCTGCTGCTTCTCTTCTGCTTCTGTATATTAACAGCTGGTGTTCATCATTAGTGCTCAATCATTACTTAATTAATCCCTTCATTGTCTCATTAACTTAAACTGCTGTTGAGCAAATTTTACTCACATGAGAGAGGGACCAAATATTCTCTAAACTGAGTACATTCTTCTCTGAGGATTTTGCTGTGTGACTTATTTTCCATGTCACCCTAATGTATTAAACCCTCTTTTATCCCCCAAAAATTGCTCTTATAAATAAAATTTTAAAACAAAAAAATGACATTAATTTTGCATCAAAAAAGCATTTTAACATAGGTAAAAGTGTCTGCAACTTTTGCGAAGCATCAAACCACCTTCATATTAGTTGTCAAAGCACATGCATGACTGCAGAAATTATTATTCCTTTTAAAAAAAAACTGTCAAATATTATGCATGTTTATTATCATACACAAATTCGGTGTGAACGCACAGTAATGAACTTTAAAGTCGTTTATCTGTTTTCTTACACTAAACCAAAAAATTATGATTAAGCCAAAATCTAGCTTTTTGTAAGCAAACAATAAATGAAAAACTATCATTTTCTTACTTTTCCCATTTTTGTTTGAAAACGGATATGGAATGGACGCGATTGATTATATCCAAATCCAGCTTAGTCCAAGTATAAAGAACAGGCCCCTGGGCCCAGTTTTTCAAAAGGGTTAATCCGGATCAAGTTGATCCGGATATAGTAATCCTGTTTTTTCGATCTGTGATCACATAATCCAGCTTACTTTTTGAGCCAGTTTTTCAAAGCAACATCGGATTGGATCAATCTGATCCAGATAGAAACTTTTCAGGATTACTAAATCTGGATTACTAGTGCTCAATCACAATGTAGATAGATAGGCCTGTGTACAGAGCAACAAATATAATAGCCAGTGTGGGGTCAATATAACTTTATTTTTATTTGAAATGAAAACTAAGAAAATTTAATAAATAATAAAATTCTAATAATAAAAACAAGAAAAACCCCACCCCATCCTCTTCCAGCAGTCCACTCATCTGAAACCTACAACACTGTACATTGAGGATATTTATAATAAGTTTCAAATATAGATGTAAATAAAAAAAAAAAAAGACTTAATGTCAAAAACTCCACAATAATTTCACACTTCCTCATCTGATGTGGAGAGACCAGCTTGCCTTGGTTTGGTCAAAGTCAGTTGTTCCTCTGCCAGACGAAGCTGTGCTTCTGCCCTTTCAGTCTCTTTTTGCAATTGTTGAAAGAGATTTCTAAAATTAGGGATTGTCATTCTTTGCAAAATTTTTTTTGGTTATCCTATAATCATTACATGCATCACTAATAAATATACTAAAAAGAAAAATATTTTCCATTGTGATAAATATATATAAATATATATATATATATATATATATCAATTAGTGACAGAAAAAAAAATTATTGTGTTAGGTCAATTTTGACAGCTGTTTGGGGGATTATTTTATGAGGCCAAACTCTTTCTACTTTGCTGTAGGCCTATACTGAAGGGCTGAATACGTTAAAGCCTATAGTCACTATAGCCTGACAGATGAACAAATAAAATTAAAACCTTATTATTAAATAGTACATCTCGTAAAATACTGCATGATCCAAAAATAGTACTATTTAATAATTTTGTAAAGTTTTCATTACATTTTGGGCATGAAATCCACGGTAAATCCACCCTTCTGATGGGATCAGTTTAATCCAGGTTTTTTGGATCAAAGCGATCCGAATCTTACAAAAAAGGTTTGAGAAACCCAAACTAAAGATTTGATCCGGATCAAAACCAAGATTGGATTACGTGATCAATCAGATTATGTAATCCGTTTTTCCTTTTAAAAAACCCATTTTCAAGATTTGATACAATCCCTTATCCAAAATCCTAGTGGATTACTTTTTGAAAAACCGGGCCCTGGAGATCTACCATCCTGCATATTTCAGTAGCAACCCATATCAAACACACCTGCTTGCAATTCTCAAGAGGTGCAGGACCTGTTCAGGTCCTATTTAATTGGTTCAGGTGTGTTTGATCTGGGCTAGGGCTGAACTCTGCAGGAACGATCTTCAGCAACAGGGTTGAGCACTCCTGTTTTAATTGTTCATTTATTTATCTTTTAATTTGCTTTTCAGTAAAAAGCTCAACCTAACAAAATAAGCAATGGAATTAGTGGGTGATCGGGACCGGGGCTGGAGCAATGGG